TTAACTAGCAAGTATAAGTATACGAGCTTCGTTCTAGTAATGTATTATGTAGGGGCTTCTCAGATTCTAGAAGAGTTTGAGATAGTAACGTAGACTCACATTCCTCGAGCTTAGAACTAAGAGGCCAATGAACTGGCTCAAATAGCTTTAGGGCTAAGGCCATCACCTAAACTTACCAGAAAGGTAATTGTGGTGGAATAAAAAGAACATCCTTTGGTCACTTAGCCTGGTTTAATAGTACAATGCGATGTAGTCTCGCAAGGGTTAGCCCAACGATACCCTTACAGAACGAGAATACGTGCTCAACACTTCATTTTAATTAGATATGAATTATATTGGAAAGGCCTCGACAGGTTATTACTTAGATGTTTGGCCTTCACTGACTATATAGAGGTCTTAAGACTGGTGCATGAGGGAGTATATAGGGCCATCAATTAGGGCTAAAGATGTAATGGTTGGTGCATAGGCATGGATATTATTGGCCATTAATGATGAGATTGTATGGAATATGTTAGAAGGTGCAAGAAATGCCAGACTTATGGGCCAACACAACAAGTGCCAACATTAGACATGCATCTAATTATCAAACCATGGCATTTTCGAGGATGAGCTATGGATGTAATAGGAAAGATTTATCCAGCCTCATATAAGGGCCACTCATTCATCTTAGTAGCTATAGATTATTTCATTAAATGGGTAGAGGCCGTCCCTATGAAGAAAGTAGAGTAGGACAACATTATTAACTTCATGCGTGAACAAATCGTGTTTCGGTTTAGGATTCCTCAAACGATTACAACAGACCAAGGGATAATGTTCATTGGAAATGACTTCAAAGCCTTTATCGAGGAAAGTGGCATTAAGGTATTGACATTCTCATCATATTACCCTCTGGTAAATGGACAGGCTGAACCTTCTAATAAGATCATCCTCAGAATTCTAAAGAAGACAATCAAAAAGAATCTTAGAGAATCGCACGTACGATTGCTTGAGACGCTATAGGCATATCAGACATTTAAGAGAAAAGTTACGGGCACAAGCCCATATATGTTAACATATGGGCACGAGGTCATTTTTCCTATGGAAATAGCAATCCCTTTGTTACTCGTTGCAAGTAGTCTAGGAAGATTATCTAATGATTACAATGAGGCTATGATAAATGAATTAATTTAGTTAGATAAAATTTATTTACAAGTGCTAGATCATATGATCACCCAAAAGAAGGAGGTCTCAAGGATATATAATAAATGAATAAGAAGGCTTGTGTGGAAACTTGTGTTACCACCTGGTTCTAAAGACCGGATGCATGGTAAGTTTTTACCTAATTAGTAAGGACTATTCAAGATAAATAAAGTACTTAAAGGGAACAAGTATATGTTAGCTAGCATTGATGGAATTCTGCATAAATGGGCCATAAACATAAAATATTTAAAGAAGTATTAGCCGTCATTATAGTGAAAAAGCAATAAAGGACCCGAGGCCTAGAATGGCCTTAGGGTATATGAAAGATGCACAATGATAGAAAATTGTTTGCTCTTTATTACATTCAAATCGTGTTACAAAAGGTGTAGAGTACATGAATAAAGAAAAAAGAATAAAAAATGAAAAAAATGAGATATATTATTTATAAAGATTACACATTATCTCCTACGTCGCTAAAGCCGAGTCTAACTCTTTAAAAAAGGTCTGATGGCAAGTAAGGGCCGTCTTGAACTCAAGCATGGAATGAAACTTTGTATCCGAAATGGCTCATGCCTCGTCTAGAACCTTGATGGTGATCTCCAATTCAAATTCAGTTGGACTGTCTTTAGCTTTAGCTCGTACTAACTCCTCTTCAGGTGCTGCTAGCTGGCACCTCAAGTCTGCCACCTTAGCTTGTAGTGCCTGGAGGTAATCCACGTGAGGGGCAATCTCCTGGACTCGATTAGTAGTAGCCATCATCTGGGTCTTGGAGACAAGATACTCGTCCCTCATAAACCAATTGTTTTTCAAATATTTTGACAGGAGGGAGAGTTCTTTACAACACTGGCTGATAATGCCATAACATGTCGGGACTTGAGCTCAAAGGAGCGATAACTCAAATGTAGAGACCGTCTTCTCCATAGCCTCGAGAGCCCGCATCATCTCCTCATAATTCTGTTTAGGAATGAGGAGTAGATAACGACTGAGTTGGAACTACATAACCCTCAAAGCATCCAACACCACATTTGATTCAGGTACATGGATGGGAACTAGAAGGGCGTCAGTGGGTACCACCTCCAACAAAGCCAGTTGAAGAAAACAAAGTGAGGTCAGTAATGATAGACAAAAAAGAAACTAGAAGGAATGAGTAGAACAAGCCAATACCTGAATTGGATCCACAATTGCTTTATCTTTGCTCATGGAAGGGGGAGGAATATGTGTAGACTATGTTGCTGATCACAGGGCCTTCTTCACATGGCCTGTAAGAGTAGAGAAATCGGTCTATCTCCGTACTGAGATGCCTTGAGGAGAGGCTAGGGAAACTAAGGCATTATTCATAGTCACCGCTTGAAATCCCTACAGGGACTTCTCAAAACCCCTAACTTCTTGACCACTTGATGAGTTGGAGGGTGGGACCGAGCAGATAGGGGAGACCATTTTAAGGCTTTCAATGGAAGTATGGCCTTGTTAGTTGTAGCCTCGATATCTTTCACACCGGCAACACCACTTGGGGCTGCAATAGACATAGCAGCCCCCAGAGCTTCAGCAAGCTCTGTCATCACTTGAGCCACTTCCTAAGCAACTTCAGCCGGGTCTATGGGTGTTAGCTCAGGATTGGCAAAGGTGGGGGAAGTAACCACTTGGGGATCTAGAAGCTAGATCTCCTTCTCCCCTTGTTAAAGAGGACTCACCCTGTCATCGTCAAAATCTGCTAATAGGATCATCATCTGTTAGCACTTGTGCGTGTGCTTACCCTTTTAGGGAATGGGGCCAGTCAGGAACGGAGTAGAGGAATTCTCGAGGGGAGTAGGTGTTGTCTTCTTCCTCCTCTTAGCATTCAGTGAAGGAGATAGAGCCTGCTTCCTCTTGTCAGGACCATCTCCTTTATCGGGATGACTTAAGGAGATCTTCTTAGCCTCAAGTTTCTTAGAGACCGAAGGGTAGATACTTGAGATGAGGCATCATCTTGCTCTATCCCTTAAACCACGGGCCTCAGTGAGGGGGTCGTCTAGGTCTCAGAAGTAGCAAGGGCATCGGTGCTTCTCCTCAGGAACATCATCAGCACATGAGATTGCGTCCAATAACAACTTATAAAAATAAAAACAGGTTGCTAATGGATGACTCGAGGAAGGACAAAGTCATCCGGGCTAAGATCAAGTTGCGAATGGAGGTCAGTGGCCATGGATTTGGTTGAGTAAGGGCCGTGACTTCGGACAAGTCGAGAGAGATGGACAGGTACCCGACATTGCTTTTTTTGGAGATTTGAAAGCTCCAAGGAGAAGTACTAAAAAAGTAAAATAAAGCACAATTAACATACTTCTCCAATAAAATAGAAAGGCTAAACATGAAAAGCAAGAAACTTACCAGAAAGCCAGCGATTCACGGAATGATGAATCCTCCTATAAAGAAATGAACAACTATTAGAATAGGAAACTTTGTGCCACACGTACATATATATTAGGATTTAGGATTTATAAACAAAAACACAAACCCATAACTTGGGATCACCAAATTTCTAAGCATACATGGGTGTGCTTAACTTGGAAAGTGACCTCTTGGCATTTTAAATTCTAAAAGTAATGTTGAATAACTTTGTGTTTGTGATATGAGACTTGCCACGCGTACATATATATTAGGGAGAATGATGATTGAAGACCCTCTAAGGACATTAATTCCAGTTAGAGATCCTGAAAAATAGAAATCCCAATTAAAGACCATGATCTTTAAGTGGGATAAAAAATAAACTTGAGTTTACAAAACTGCCCCCTCACTAAACATTGAAAGGTAACAGGAAAGAAGCTCATCTCGTGTGCTCTGTTTTCTTGTTTTTCAGCGGGAAAAATACTGATGGAGTGTGCTCTCGTGTGTTGAAAATGTTAGGGAAAAATTAGTGGAGCATAATCGTCTTCTAATAGGTAATTGTATGCATTGTTTTTTTTACATTTCGTCCTCTGCCATGCGTGAAAGAGAAGTCTGCATCTTCTTCTTCCATTTCTTTTCCATTGCTCTGTTTTATTTTTTTTACACATGTCCTCTGTCATGCACGCACAGAAAGAATGTTTTAATCTTTGCAAATGCTATCTTGCACCATTTCTCTTTGTTTTATACCTAGAAAAAAAATAGTCTTCTTAATGATTACTAGACTTTATATATAGACATGCGGAAGAAATGATTTCCGAGAACGACACAGTTGAAAAAGTTGAAGAGTGAAAAACAAGGAAAATGTAACATGGATGCTGAATTTTTGTGATCTGTGTTGAAAAGTGCGTGAATATTGAAAAATGTAACATGGATGCTGAATTTATGTAGTCAAGGTTGGGATTATGGAATGGACAGTTGTGAAGTACTAAATTTGTATGTTGCTTGTAGTTGTTCCAGATTTATTTCCCATATGGCAAGTACTTCAGTAAAAGAAGTATTTTGTTATCTTCATGTTGATGGACATTTTATAAAAGATTTACAAGGGAAGATGACCTATGGAGGTGGGAGATTAATTTCTAAATTGATTAGAGAAGGCATAAATCTTGAAGAGTTGTCGAGGATAGTGTCATCAGTGACAGGAGTTGAAAGTGGTGCATTTGACTTAAAATTTACAGTGAAGTTTAGTGAAGACACATACATAGATTTGTTATATGATGAGGGAGTACAACATTTGATAAAGTATAATGATGAGTCAGCACATGTGTATGTTGAGACAAATGATAATGAAATAAATGGAGCAATGGATAACTCGATGGAGTAAGTTGTTATTCTTAGTTATTTGTGTGTTTAATTAGTTTAATGACCATTTATATTGACCTGTAAGTAATTGTAAATGTAGGATGGAGAATTTGTTAACATGGTCACTGCCAGGATCTCCCTGTAGGCAAGAGCTTGAAAGTATATCACCCTCTTTGCCATGTTCAACACAAAATGCTCTTGCACCACTGCCTGAGGTTAATTTGGTAAAATGGAAGGATTTATTTATGGGTGTTGGCCAGACATTTGATGATGCAATTGTATTCAGAAAAGCACTATATAAATACAGCCTTGCTCATAGGTTTGGTTACATATTTGTGAGAAACAGCCCTAAGAAGATGATTGTCAAATGCAATATTGATGGTTGTAAATGGAAGATATCAACTTATGCTCTTGGGAAGACAACCTCTATATTGTGTGTGAAAAAATTCCACAATGAACACATGCACTTTGCTCAAGACAACCTCCCATTAAAGTAAAAGGCTAACTCAAGATTGACATCATCAATCATCATTGATACTGTGAGGGGGAATGTGGAGAAAACGTCAAATGAGATTAGACAAGACCTCTACAAAGAGTATGGGTTAAATCTCACATATCGACAAGCTTTGAGGGGAAAAGATAGAGCATTGGAGGAAATACATGGGCTTCCACAGCAGTCATACATGTTGATTCCATGGCTTTGTGAGAAATTGAAGGAGACAGACCCATACACAGTTGCAAAGTGGGTTTCCTCGACAAATTATAGATTTGATAGACTTTTTATTGCATATGGATGCTGCATCAAAGGGTTTCTCCAAGGTGCTCGTTCAATTTTGTTTATCGATGGAAGTCATTTAAACGGTCCATATAAGGGGACTTTGCTAGCAGCTTCTGCAATTGATGCAAATAATGACTTATTTCCTTTGGCTTATGCAATAGTGGGTGGAGAAACATATGATAATTGGGCTTGGTTTCTTGAAAATGTGAGAGAGATCACACACCAAGTTCAATTGACCATAGTGTCAGACAGGCATAATGCTATTGTTGGTGCAGTGCGTGCAATATTTGATGGCAATCGACATGCTTTTTGTTATCGTCATGTCAAAGAAAATTACAGCTCAGAATTTACAAAAATTAATAGAGGCATGCGAAGGATTGATGGGATGACTAAGGAAGATGCACTTAAGTTGTTGGATAATATTGCATATGCAAGGTTGGAAACAGAATTTCATGTTACTATGGGTCATTTGATGGTTTTCTCCCCACAGTTGGCAAGATGGTTAGAAACAAATGGGGACATAAATCGTTGGGCGTTAGCAAGATTTCCATACAAAAGATGGGACAATATAACATCAAACCATGCTGAATCTTTCAATGCTTGGTTAGTGAAAGAGAGAAAACATCATATATGTGCGTTGATAAATGAGCACCGAGCAAAATTAGCGAGGAAGCTATACAATAGCAAAATAGAAATAGCGAATTGGTCAAACGGAGTTGGACCACGTGTTGAGGCAAAATTGAGGGAGAATGTATTGAGAGCTGAAGTTATGGTGGCTGAACATTATAGTGTGAATATGATACTAGTGAAGGTAGGAAACAATGACTTGAGAGTGAATCTAACATTGCGAGAATGCTCTTGTTAAGAATGGCAAATGGTAGGAATTCCTTGTGCACATGCATGTGCAGTAATAAAATTAGTTCAGGGTAATGTGTATTCATATGTTGAAGAATGCTATACTATTCGTGTACAAGAAAAAATTTACAGCTCCACAGTGATTTCGGTGGAAACCATTGACATGCCTCAGTTGATCGGGCTACATTATGAAGATTATGAAAAGAATACCTTTTTGGAACCACCACTGACTACACGTCCCCCAGGGCGACCACCTACCAAGCGAAGAGAGTCATAGTTTCAGAATAAAAAAGTGTATCATTGCTCAAGATGTAATCAAGCTGGACATACCAAGAATAGATGTAGGAATCCCAATCCAATGTAGGGATTGAAAGGGGGTGAAAACCATATGCATATTAGTTAGTTTAAAATTGAAATGCATATGGTTTTTATTTATTTTGTGCATTTTGCCGTTGAATGACCTTTTGTACAGGCAGCCACCTCATATGTTTTTTGTACTTGTGGAGGTGATAGGTTATGTAAATGGGATTGCAGTCTATGTTTTTTTTTATAAGGACTGCATAGGTACCATTTAGGTAGCTGGGATATTTTTTGGGTAAAAAGGGATGCAAATATGGTGTACATGTATTGCAATCAGTGTAATATAAAGCTGATGAAAATTTCAGGTCTAAATTTATCCTAGTAAAAATGCTGTCATGGCATAAGACTGTTGAATTCACTAACGTAGTAAGGGATATTGCTAATGTAACTTCTGACAACATAGAACCTTACTTGGGATTAAAATTTTCTACAGTATTTTAAACAATTAAGAGACTTGTCAGATAATAGGAATCAATAACGTTGGTTGGTAATTTCATATCCAAAGCAAGAAAAATTCCTACCATAAGTTGTGAAATGAATAACCCCACTTAGGTGTCATTATTTATCAGAAGATACCTATCATAAATCGGGATCCGGTAACCTTACCTAAGAATTCCCTAACTTGAGTTAGAAAAGTAGCTAACGTATAATGTGAAATGTCCTAACATGACTTGGGAACTCTTTTTTTTGTAAGTCTTGCCACAGATTGGGTTTCCAAAAATGCAGTTGGAAATTCCCTAACCTACCTTGGAAACATAACTAATGTATGTTGTGAACGTGCCTAAACTGACTTGGGAATTCATTGTTAAAGGATAAGTATTGCCACAAGTTGGGTTCCAACAAAGTCAATTGAGAATGGCCTAACCTAAATTGAAAAAAAGTTGAACGCATGTTTTGAAAGAGCCTAATGTGACTTAGGAATTGACTGCGTAAGGATAAGCCATTTGGCACAAGTTTTGTTCCAGCAACCTCACATGAGAATTTGGTAACTTAAGTTGGAAAAGTAACTAACATATGTTGTCAAAGTTCCGAATGTGACTTGGAAATTTATTATTTGATGAAAACCGACGTGGCACAAATTGGGTTCCAGCAAAGTCTCTTGCGAATGTCCTAACCTAACTTGGAAAAAAGCTGCATGTATGTTTTGAAAGAGCCTAACGTGAATTGGGACTTCATTATGTAAGGATAAGCTGCTAGGCACAATTTGTGTTCCACCAACCTCACTTGAAAATTCCGTAACATATATTGTGAAAAACCGAATGTCAGTTTTGAAAGTAATGTGAGTCAATGAAAATCAATAACAGTTTGTCAAATTTGTTGAACATGTAGTCAAAGTTTTTTTTAAATTAATTGCTGTATCATATACAAGAAGCCACGGAAAAAAACTTAATTACATAAAGGTTTAATTTACATATCACAAATGTCTACACTATGATTTCAATCTTTTGGATTGTGCATGCCCAGCATTCGAAATGGATGTCATGACTTGAGAGCCCACTCTGTTGTGTGGATGAGTCACCAAACAATACAATACCTCACTCCTCATTTCACTCAATTGTTCCAACACAATCACATAAAGTCAACTCACAAGATAGAAAACTGTCACACATAACAAATTATATCTTAGCTTTAACATTTATTCCTACCATTGTTAGAGGAGGCATAGTAAGGCCGTCCCATTCCTCTCGTGCAGTATTATTCCACTGTCTAAGGCAAAAGATGACATACATTCCATAATCAGATCTACAAAAAATATGAAATCTGTCAGCACGTAGTTGGGAAATATATACTTAATTACATGTACACAATTTCAGCTTTTTTACTCACGTCGTCGATTGCTGTTCCATAGGCACCACTTTCAACTCAAGGTCATAATTGTCATCAACAAGTTCAGGTTTTAGTTTCATTAATATTTCTACAAACCTGCTTTTCTGAGAATAAGAACAAAGTGAATGAGAAGCTTTCACCAACAAAATTTTATATATCATTATATGGGAAAAGGCATACCATAAAATATGCCATTTTTTCCTTCTCTTTCGGCAACATCGCTTCTTTCGCTTTCTTTATATTCTTCTTTTTCTTCTTTGATTCTTTACCAGATGGTAGCATCGAGTCCAGCACATACATTGTGGTTGTTTTCGGCTCCACAACATAGTAAAATCAATGCAATGCAAACACTATAGGGAAAAAAATAAAATCGCAATCTCCTATGTTATACCTGATGGTAGTTGGCATGAAGTCCTTCAAATGGCTATCTAAGTCCCATCTTTTTAGTTGGTGGATTATGGTTCCCTGAAATGAAAAAATGTAACACTTGTAACTTGTAAGCACCTAATAAAACAAAGGAATTAAACTGTAAGACAAACCGTAAAATCTGGATCAAAAATGTGTCGCCGCACAAGTTGATCCTTTTCCTTTTGCTCATTGACCAAAAGTCTTCCAATTAATGTAACAACCTACATAACAAAATTATAGTTACATTAAAATTTTACTATAACTTGATCTATTTTAACTAGCACACTTGCTCACCGAACTACTGATCCATTGTCTAGGACCTAGGCACTTGCATTCATATCTTGTCACATAATACTGCTCAATCTCCACAATTTTCCTGTTACAGAAAACAAAATTATATCAACCAATCGATTATGAATGCATGAACTAGTAAAGTTGAATATCGTACTCATGTCCCTCATTAGGTGGAATAGACTTTGTACAGTATTGGTAAACTTCTTTCTCTATACATTGTCCTCTTTCTTGATGTCCTCTTTTTGCCTTCCCTCTATCATCCAAAAAGGGTGAACGAATAGTGCTGACTATTTGTCGTTGTGACCGTCTTAGTGTCCTTTCACCCTTAAAGTCTTTTTTTCTAATTGGCTTTTCTACTTCTTCTTGTGCACCTGATTCTCCCTCCTTTTCATTTTTATCTCCTTCTAATTGTCCTTCCTCTTCTTCTTTTTCATCTTCTCTGGATCCCCCTTCCTCTTTATTTTCATCTCCTTCTACTTGTCCTTCCTCTTCCTCCTTCTCATCTTCTTCGATTTCTCCCTCCTTTTCATTTTCATCTCCTGTCTCTTCTCCTTCCTCTTCTTTGTCATCATGTTCCAACTCTTCCTCTTCTTCCTCTTCACCATCATGCTGTTCAACAACTTCCTCTCCTCTTCTTTTATCTTGGAGCTTGAGGAGTCTTTGTGCAATTCCACGTGTAAAGGTCACAATATCTCTGTATACTTCTTTTATGTCCTGCACCATATAAAATGTCATATGTTTAAAATTATATAAAAAAATAACTTTGCTAATTAACAACCATCATTTTGCCCTTACCGGATCATAAAAGGAAGTCATTTCTGGAAGCTCTACTGAGAAGCTGTCATGTCCTCGAGAAGGGTGATACAAAATGCCATGATCACTTGCCTTCTCAAGTTGAACTCATGCTGTCACTCTCTCCTCTGTCTAATGTTCCAAAGCATCTTCTTGCGATGACACCTCAATTGGCTCCAATGGAAACATTTGAAAGTAGAAAATCTGCATATTTACATCTATATCATATAACCCACAGAATTTTGCAAAATAATTAACTTATAACAAATTATATCTTAATTTACCCACATACCGCAAGAAGAAATAAGCATCCTCCAACAGTTTTTTTGTGCCCATCCTTCTTCTCCCATGCTTTATATTCGGCTACCTCCTTTCCAAGCTCAGATAGTATAAAAGATGACCAATCATAATGTACAGTTCCCAAATTTAACCCGGACATGACTTTCAATAGTTTATCACTTATTTTGGAACTCGAACTTGGACAAAGAAAATTCCCTAAGCAATAGAGAATGAAGAGAAACTCAAATTTATCATTTTCTTTCCCTGAGAGTATCCTATCCTTAATTAAATTATAGGATACTTTTTTAAACTCCTTGTTTAACAACTTTAATTTATTCTTATCCCCATTCATATCAATTATCTCCCCATCATTAGGCAAGCCAAGTAAGGCATGAACTGCTTTGCCATTGATGACTTTCCTTTGACCTCTAATGAAAAAGGATGATGTAGGAGGATCAAATGCCTTCATCACTTCATCGCATAAATCTCTAGGCAACTTGTGACATTTAATATTTAAAAGCTTACCAAATCCTATTCTATTAACCCTATCCCTCAAAGATTTTCACTTTTTTATATAATCAAAAACTTCCTTCATCTTTGTCGGAGAACACCTTGTCTCAAATGGAATCTGTCCAAGTAAAACAAGTCAGCACCATTACTTGAATTCATCACATTTTTCATGCTTGAGGTCAAAAACAACATACCTCGTAAGCTTTTATACCAGCGTTATCCTCCTTAGCTAGACACTTATAGTGATCTTGTTCTGCTGATGTCAACTTTTTCCATGCTGCAACTGCTTCTGCGTTGAGTTTTTTCAAATCATTTCCCTGGGTTGTATACTTGCCACGATATGCCTCTTTGAACTTGCTTAAACCAGAACAACTTTTTTGCCTTAAAGGATTTCCTTTTGTTTTAGCCATTATCCTGCACATTAACAATTAGGGTAAAAAACAAACTACTATCGAATGTATCTAATGTCACTAATGAATACACAAAATAATATTATTAGATTTACCAAACATGAAATCTGAATTTTCTCCATAGAACATGCGAGGGTCAGGGAAAGTCATAGTCACAGCCTCCCTAACTTCGCTAATTTTTTAGTCAAGATTGCATTCGTCTTTTACACAAGCAAATTTTCAAGTCGGAAGAACCTTGCCAAACTTTTATTTTATGAGGACATTATAAGAGCTTTAATGTCAAATTAAGACTTTTCAATATTGATGTTTCTAAATTTCAGTACTCCTTCAACCATGTTTCAATACTAAAATTCCTTATTTGGCATTAATGTTATTACAAGCTCTTTATTTGTCATTCTCCCTTATTTTTAACTATTTTATTAGTCTATAATATCTTATCGACCGTTCTGCTACAATCTATATTTATGTTTTTCTTCTATTATGAAAAGGAAAGCTTTTCCAAATCTAGAGACCAAACACCAAACATGCCAATGTAGAACCTAAGTTTCGGTGCAACACATGGAAGGAATCAAGGAAGAGTCCAAAGTCCTTGTTAAGCAGTGCCTTTCTCCCTTTTGTAACGGCCCTATGTTTTAAAACAGCCAGCTCTGGGCCGATTTTCATTGCTTCTTGAAAGACACATAACCAAATGTTACAAAATTTCCAGTTCATTGCCAGTATATGTGCTCGGCTAGCAAAAGAACAAAACAAAATAAATTCATCTTACAGCATAAAAATACCAAACGAACAAAAGGCTTCTCACTCTTTCTTCCCAAATTCATGGCAAAATCATAGAATAGAGCAAAATATCAGGTCTGAATATCGCATAAATATAAACAAATATGGAACCATTTTCGGATCACAAATCAATATTACTGCAGTTTCTTCTCTTTTGCAAATACCTTACTGGAATGACACTAGGAAAAAAAATGCACAATCAACAACAAACACAAAATCATTTCGCCCCCACCGAAGAACAGACCGAGGGATGGAGAGAGAGAGAGAGAGAGGCACCGAATCTGGAAGAAGAGAAGAGGGTGCACCGGACACAGAGCATGCACACCGGACTGAAAATGGGAGCAACAATAAAGGTCCCACCAATGATTGCACACCCCTGGACTTGATACAGAGAACCCGATCACCGACTAAGCAGCCGGCCAAGCTGAAATAGAGGAAGACGACGAGAAGGGGTAATCGAGGAAGACATCGAAATAGAGCAGGAATAGGGCTCTCTCATGCGCGGTACCTTTGTTTTGAGCTCAGGGGCATTTTCGACAATTCAACATTTTTTTATCCCCATTAAAAACCACGGTCCTTATTTGGGATTTCTATTTTTCAGGATCCCTAATTGAAATTAATATCCTTCGGGGGTCCTTAACTGTCATTCTCCCTATATATTAGGATATTGGATTTATAAATAAAAACACAAATCCATAACTTGGGATCATCCAAATTTCTAAGCATATATGGGTGTGCTTAACTTGGAAAGTGACCTCTTGGCATTTTAAATTCTAAAAGTAATGTTGAATAACTTTGTGTTTGTTATGAGACTCGACACGCGTACATATATATTGGGATTAAGGAGCAGCAGGGTTGTTAAGTTGTCATATAGTGTACCCTCTCCAGTTTGAAATATAAACATTTTTCTTAATTAATTTTAATTTAAAATATAAAAGATTTAATGTATATATATAATTATTTTACTCTTTATATTTATTAATCGAGATATTTATGTAAATATATCTTTCACTCATTATAAAATGTTTTAGTAATTGAAATTAAAAATAAAAAAGATTATATATATATATATTTTATGAGGAAAAGATTTTATTTATATATAATTTTTTTAAATTAATTATATTTTGGATCGATTCATAACAGAAACAGTGAAAAGAGTGCAGTGTAGAGATAGGTCCAAGACAAGAGCAGCCCCACCCACCTCTCGAATCTCAATTCTTTAGTCGGAGGGGGACTCGCATCCAAATCTAACAACAGCGCGATACTGAGACACTCTTGCTTTATTTAATAAAGTCACCACCAGCAAATTTATTCCAAAAATCCTCTCTCTCTCTCTTACATTCTCTCTCTATAAATATCTCTTCTTATATATATATATATATAATATATCAAAATGAAACACCATTGATCTTGTGCCTCAGCTGATCCACTGGCATTGTCTTAATTATAGATTCTGCCGATAATGGAGAGCGTTCCAGGTGCTTCGTCCAGAGGCGATAGGAAAGTTATAGAGAGGAACCGAAGAAGCCAAATGAGGGCTCTTTACGCCAAGCTCAACTCGCTGCTTCCTCATCAATCCTCCAGGGTGCTTCGTTTGCTTCTATCTCATCCTATATTCCTTGTTTTCATGATTATTATTTCGTGTGTTATGTGTTTGATGAATCTGCTGGTGCAGGAATCGATTTCGCTGCCGGATCAGCTGGATGAAGCCACGACCTACATAAAGAAGCTTCAGATAAGGTTGGAGGAGTTGAAGGAGAAGAAACTCAACCTTGTGGGCACCGACAATAAGAGAAATGCTCATGGGAGCCAAATTCACAATGGAGGAATGATTTTGGGGTCGAAATCACCTAAAGTTGAGACTCACCAAATGGGTTCGGCATTAGAGGTTTCTGTGATTACTGGGTTGGATTGCCAGTTCATCTTCAACGAGTTCATTCGCATTCTTCACGAAGAAGAAGCCGAAGTTGTTAACGCCAGTTATTCAGTCGTTCATGATGCTGTTTTTCATATCATACACTGTCAGGTGAGCAATTAATTAATGAAATTTCCTCCGAACGAACCAACGATTTGTTCTTCTGATTAGTCCTTTTAGAGCTTCTTTAATTAGATATTAGCTCAAAGCCTAACTAAAATTAGTAATTGGATGAGCCACCAGTATATATTGGCTGAAACTTCAACTCCTAACAACACCTGCCACACCAAACTGTGAAAGATTTCTCTGTTGAAATGGATTTAGGGCTATATATGTACATAACTGATGGATCTGGTTTTGCACGTATTGAATGTTGTTCAGATAGGAGAATATGGTAACAGAGCTGAGAGGATATCGGAGAGATTAAAGAGGTTCGTGTACGGTTCTGGCACATTTTGAAGAGAATGGCAGTGTCTGCTTCCCGTGGAATTTTGAATATACATCGGAATGTGAATAACTTGTGCTTAGTTTGTTTGTAACAGACATATATATATATATATATATATTCATATCATATCTATAAACTCAGCTGATCTTACTATATGCTTCCTTTGTCAATTTTGTCATCAACTATAATAATTCTGTGCTTCACCGTGCGGATATATTATGTTGTTTTTTATGATCTTCGTCTGTAAGATTCTGCAGCTTCTTCATGTTGTCACACTTCCTGCTCAACATAGGAGACTAGAAAATTATGATAGAAAGTCTCTATGTCATTATGCTAACCATGTTTAAAACATCATTAGAAAAATATGTTAACTGTCTGTTTTGGGAACAGAGTGATAAGAGAAAGGTAACGTCGAACAATATATAATAGGAGGAATGAAAACTAGCTCATTGAAAACATGATTGCTCTCCATTTTTATCTTCTTCAATTTAGGTAAACACAAAAAAGAAGAAGAAGAAGAAGAAGTCGTTGTATATATTGATTGTTTCAACATGATTCGTCTTATACATTAATACTTGGTGGATTGTTATATTGATTGAGCTGGGCGGACTTTTTTTAAGAAAACACTACTGATATTGCATTAATTAGCAATTAATCTGCCAATTCTTCTGGTAGTGACATTTTAATTTTCAATTCTGTTCTTGATTTCTTGTTCAGTTTTTGTGGCTTGTCAGAACAACTAGAAGATGTAGGTCGGAACCAAATAGAGTAAGCTCTCATGTACATGTAACCCTTGGTGTACTCCTAAATCGATTGGCTTAATTAGCATTCATGGATATAATGTCAAGGCAGTTAAAAATGACCAAAGAGAGTAGATCGTGATTTAAAAAGAAAGAGGAAGAAGAAAAAACTGTATCTTTGCTTGCAAGGTGGCCGAAGGAATTTTGGAGTCTAAGGCAAAATTATTTAAGAGGCTTAATATATTATCGTTCATTTATTTTCATGTATTTTCAATTTATTAAAACCAGATTCAAATATTCTGTTTAACATTTTTGCCACTTCAAATCCTATAAAAAAAAACTCAAACAATCACAATCTCAAATAAAAAGTTAAAGAAGAATAAACATATGTGATATGGCCGATACTTGAGATTATAACTAATGTTTTTTCTTTTTAAGCAAAACTCTCATTTCCAGATAAAAAAATATAATTAAAACTGATACTAACAAGAAAAATAATAACTGATCATAGAATATAGATAAATATTTTTGGAGGCCTAAGATGACCACCTCATTAGTCTAAAAGTTCACACGGCCTTGTTTGCTCATGAGAAAAATAATTTTTGTGTATTAATTCGTTTGATGGAAAAAACTTAGTGTTATACCGTTTACCCTAGACAATGTTTTTAAAAGTAAAAAAATTTAATAACATTTATTCAGATATTAAATTAAAAAAAGCACATTGTTATGCTTAAAATTTATCATCGAACTAATGCTATGCTTGACTAGAGGGAAAAGTGAGGGGGACGAAAAAGTGAGAGGAAAATAACATTTTTTTCTATTTGACTACAGAGAGAAAAGCGGATGGAGGAGAAAAGTGGGAGGAAAATAATACATGGGATTCATATATTTTTACCTCCAACTTTTCTCTCCAGATATACGGAGATTTTGGAGAGAAAAACTCATTTTTAAATTTACCCATCAATTTTTTCATTGCTGCCTCTTGCTTACCTATCATGATATTTGTAGTGTAGTTATATTTTGATTATAAACTTTTATTAAACAAGCAGTATATTTAATTTTAGACTAATTAAACAAATATTAATTCTAAATTTTCAAGTTAATTTTTAATTAAATACTTTATATTTGGTTATAGTTTCAAATTTTAAGATTATTATATATTTGATAATTTAATAAATAAAATTTTAAATTGGATAAAATAATTTTTTGTCAATATTGAATAAAATAATTTCTAATAATATTTGTGTTCAGTCAATAATATATAATAATTTTTCTTATATATAATACATTAAAATATTAAATTTTATTATATAAATATTCTTACAAATAATAAGATAATTATTATCCATATAAAATTAATAATATTTTTTGTTTTTAGTTTTCTCTCGGTTAGCCAAACATAATGAGAGAAAAGCGCATCCATCTCAGTTTCTCTTTTCTTTATTTTCTCTCCTCCCATTTTCTCTTCTTCTTATTTTCATCTACAAGCCAAGCACGGCATAAATGATTGCTACTAATATATTATTATTAATAATCTCACAATCTTGTCACATGTAATAAACTAGTTTAATTCTGTATATGATTATCAATCGAAAGAACATTTGTGTATTATGTGTTTTAAAAAGCAAGAGATTATATCCAAAAAAATATTAAATTTAAGAAGTAACATAAAATACTCAAAATCATTACAAAAGAATGGAATTTAACAAGGAAAAATTCAAAAATAAACACATCATGGAACTCAATCAGAAGGTCGAATGATTCAAGAATATAGCTTTTTTATAAATATATTGTCGATTTGTTTATTTTCAAAGGTCACATGTTGGATACATATTGGCTTTTGCCTTTCGTGGGCAAATTGGCGTGTGAATGTTAAATAGAAGGACTCGCGGGTCATGATGCTGACATAGGTTGATGAAGTCATCTTGTATTGGTCACATCTCACACGTATCTGCTCAAACACGTGATTCATCTGATCTCCCGGAAGAAAAGGAACGGCGGAAATCAAATCAGAAGGGGTTCACGTAATCTAATTATGCTTATAGTATTAATTAATTAACAGCTCTTATAAAAAAAATTAATTAATTAACAGCATTAGAAACGTGAGGAAGTTGTTTGGCACTACTTATTTTCTTTTACTAATAAACACGTTGCCCCATGCCGAAAGCCTTGAACGTGACATCGGTGAATCCCTCACCCACCCAAGCAGTAAAGTGACGACCATTAATGTTAAGTGGTCCCAATTGGTAAAATACAATGACCGAATTTTCATATTTGAATTGGAAATCAAGTGATCGTTTCATTTGTGTTTGGTAGAAACATTCCAAAGGTCCTGAACTTGGAACCAATCAATACCAGTGCTATACATGAAAAGATAGCATTTCATTGCAATGTAACTGTGGACAAGAGTGGAGTCAGGATTTAATTATTTAATTAAAAAAATGTTTAAATTTAAAAAGTATATATACTAGCGATCAATTAACTTTTCATAAATCTTGAAAGATTCGAAGCATTATATTATTTACATAATATTCTGCATATTTTTTTTTTTGCAGCAAATAATAAAAAGTGTGGTGTGGTCTGTTCACAGCTTGCAGATGGGAAATGGATGGAGATGTGATGGCGATGATGACATTGGATTTATCTCATGCTTTGGTCCATTTTTAGAAAAGTTCGTGTGAAACCAAGATGTCACAATAAATTATGACCATGTGTTTTGTCCATGGTCTCCTTCCTCCCAAACTTTGACCACTTCATGTGATCGTGTCCCTCATGTTTTGCAATTCACACTCTCAAATAGTATCTCCTTAATTCTACCCCAAAAAAAAACCCCTCCATCCTAATTATTAATAATGTCATAACTACACCCACGGACTATTAGATTGAAGATAAAAAATGGCTGAAAATTGCATATTTTTGTTCCAAAATTACAAATTTAGTGATGTTAACCAGTTTCAGTGCAATCATACAGCATGAGTATTGAGAGCTCATCATCTCAGGACCATGTCTAATTTTCATAGTCTAAATTTGTATTTTTTTCAATGGGTGTTTTTTAAATAAAAATATTTTTTTAAGTAACAATTAAGACATGTCTTTATTTTAGATTTTGTATTTAAAATAATTTTTTAAAAAATAAAAGTAAAAAATTATAAATATAAATCATTTAAATTATAACAATCCATAGACATTGAGCTTTCAGTGCTTATCTATATGATAATGAGCACTGAAATTGATTCTTGATGAGCTTGGCTTTTCATAACTAATTAATAATGTAAGGTTTAGATACAAATTGTACTTTTGTTGTCTAAACTACACAAAGAAATCCAAAACATCTAAAATAAAAAATAAGAGAAATGATAAATAAAAAAGAATGAATTCCAACTAAAATGATGGACGACTTTTTTTTTTCAAAAAAAAAAAATAATAGACCCAGAAATGCTTATTTAATTTCAACTTATCCAATTCGCAGGCATTTTGGTAGCTCTCGGGCCTAGTGTTTGCTCACCTTAATTTCCTCATTCCCACTTCCTATCCTTTAATTCCTTCCCTGTGACATCCCAAGACCCTAAAATTCCTTTTTTCATTTAGGGCATATTAATTGTTCCTTTATTTGTCACATGTAATAATAAGAAAAATTGGCTTGATGTTTTGTGATCTTTATTAGATTCTTGGTCGAGCTTGAAAAAGTGACCATATGAGCATGAGTGATTTAGGTGGCTATGCCTGCATAACACTGTTTCAGAATAATGTTGTAAAGGATATGTGTTACATTTCATGAAAATTGCAGTTTAATTAATGCGATTATGGTTTTAAACTTGAGCAACTTTCAACCTAGCCAGAGTCCTCATATTGATTGACCCTATAAATTTGGGAAGCGTGATGTGATTTATATTTAATTCGTGGGATTTGTGATATATATTTGATGCTACAGTTGGATTGTTTGGTGATGGCGCTAAAAATCCTCCACACAGCGTTGTTTAAGAATCCCCCATATCTTAGGTGCTGCATTTTACTATTTTGGTATAGTTTCATGCTTCTGAAGTATATCATACATATGATAATGGATTTGTGTGTGCGCGCGCGCGCTGTGGAAAATAACTGGGCTTTAGATTATGAAAGAGGCGAGTGTGCTTGGTTCTTTGTTCGTTCGTGAATGGAGGCTGAGTAACAAATCCATGAAGCAAACACACCTAACTTTTTGCTGATAGATTTATGGTCTGTTTCAGTGATAGATTTTCCCCCCTCACTTGGTGCTAGTTAATACTTACCTATCACTGATATCTTGGGCGACATACGTTACAATTGGCTACAATATCGGTCACTAAATGTGCCAATAATACTATCATTATTAATTTATTATAACAAATTGTCTTAGCAAAGTTAATTGTTACATCATTACTTTAATAATACAATTTAATAATACTATCATTATTAA